AACCATGTACTCGGGATGGAACTGACCCCACACCTCCTCAAGGGATGACTTTGTGTACTTCCTGGGAAAGGACCCAGGGATGACTTTGCAGTGAATAGGCTGCCATTTGGAGACCCAGCTTTGGCAGGCTGTGTTGGCTTCCACGTGTCTTGTTTAGACCCGGAGCATGTAGTTGTGGACCAGTGACAATGAAATAAATCTGTCTGAGTTACTGATGAACAATCAGTTTGTAAATACAGACTGAATGTGACTCCAGAGCTGCTCTGTTCCAGTATCTGAAAGCAAATGGACATGCTGTCATAAGCAGAATGGGAGTCCTGTATTTTGACCGATAATTAAATTCTCAACTCTTATTTAATATCTGAAGTACAACAAACTATTCACAGGAAGCCTGGCTCTTCCTCCCTCATTCTTAATGATTAGTCCCAACAGAGGTCTGCTGAAATCAGCTGAATTGATTGCTTAATGAATTTCAGGGCTCTTGGCAGTTTCAGTGAAAATGGAAAGTACCTCAAGGGCTGGGGACTGTTGCATTATGGACATGGCTGGAGCCAGGCTCTGAGCTGCAGTTCAGCACAGCTTTAGGAAGCACACTGACTTCAGCCTGGATTTTCTTTACCTGCATGCTACTGTCCATTTGACATTTTGGGATCTTTGCCATCTCCTCAATTCATATAGTTGTCATAGGAACTATTTCCTAAGCTGTGTTCTGACTTGTTCCACAAGGCACTTTATGATAAAGTGTTGACAGGAAAGCACAGCCATAGATTTTTAAATGTCACCAAGGTAACTACCAGCATTCAATTACAGCTTCAGATAAAGATGAATCCTTTCTGCAAATGTGAGTGTGACAGTCAAAAGATGTGCTGAGGATGAAGGTGATTTGTGATACAGGAAAGATTTCTCTTGTCACTTCACAAGGTTAATTGTGCCCATTCTGGTTTTGGTAACACAAGTGTAGCATAGGTTATTGTTTGATTCTTCAGTTAATGTCTTGCTAGACATTGATCACTTGGTGTTCTGGTGGTGGGGTGTTTCTGGTTTTATTTTATTCTGCTTCATGAATGAGCCTGTTGCTTTATGTGCAGCAGAACTGGGGTTTATCTTGGTGATGCTGTGTAACACCTGAAGTAATACTCCTTTAAATGGCATTTCCCTGGGCTTACATAAACATCCCAGAGACCTAAGCAGGAATCAGACTTGTCTTCAAATCTCTTGAAACCTCAGACTGTCTCATTCATTCTAAGCCTGAGAAGATCAAAATTCCACGGCTTGTGGAGATTAGGGAGAGTGGACAGCTAGAGCAAAACTTTGTATGTTAGAGAGGGGCTTTTTGAGACTAGGAGACAGTGATAGTGCATTTGTGTGTGGGAGATGGTAAGTGTGGAATCTGAGGGATCAAAAGAAGAGGAGATGGGCAAGACGCTATCAGGGTAAGAGTGTGGCAGGGTATAGATATAGATGGTTTGGTATTGGAGATTGTGCTGTTAAGGGTGGTCTTGGGTTCTTCTGAGGCTGTGGGCAGTTGATTGAAGGCAGAAGGCCTTTTGTGAGCAGTGTAGGCGCTGAAGACATGACCCTCAAATCATCTGAAGCTCTTGTGTGGTTTTGAGCTTGTAGCCATGAGAAGAGCTTCTCCCAAAGCTGGCTCAGAAATGCCTGGTGAAAGGCAGTGCAGTGCTGCTCCTTTTGTTACTCTTGACCAATTTGCCTCCTCCCTGTTATCTTACATCCATTAGTTTTCAACATCTTTTCATAGAGTGATAAGTCACTTGGTATCATTAAAGTGAAATTTAAGGCTATTATACATTCATTTCTCTACCATTAGGAATGGTCTTTACTTTCTCAAATAAACCACCTTATCTCTTTTTCTTTGAAGCTTCACATTAAAGGTGAAAAGAACAGATCCTGACAATGTCATCTGAGGAAAGCAATTATATTTTAAGGTGAAGTGTTTTGTGAGCAGCATCCTGATTTCTTGGCAGAGCTAAAAATAGCTGACTGGTTAAATAGCTTATCAGCATGTGGAGACCTGGGAGTCTTGGGAGTAATTCACTTTTACTTTTGACTAATAATTCCATGCCAAATGTTGTTCCAGTGTTGGAGTTGTAATGGAGGGGGCACAGGTGGCTTCTTCAAGTGGGTGAAGTAATATAGGTCTGTCTAAAGCAGCCTAAACCCTCTAGCAGTTTAATTTTACCAGCACAAATTGAGGCATCAATTTTCAGATAGTTTTGTAGTGCGAAACACTTGCAGAAGTTTTGTGCTTGAACCAAATCCACAGTCCTCTGAAAGTGTAACAGCAAGCCCTGGCAACCTAATAGCTGGTTGACAGCTGGCAGTCTGGTTCACAAATACCAGCACATCTGTATGCACATTGCAACATGCACATTCCTTCTGCCATCTGCTTTTCCAGGAGGATGAAATTGTCCATGAGTAGGTATGTCCCAGGCTTGGTCCTTGCCATGGCTGTTCAGGGCAGGGGAAAGAGTCCAACAGCATCCTCCATATGGTTGTTGTCCAGCCTCTTGGAGGTTGGAGCTGGCATTTCACACAGCTTGGAGAAGGCAGAGAAAGCCTGTCCATTAGGAGAGCAGTCTTGGGTCTCTGAGTAAATTGAGTAGATTTATTTGCTTAATTTACCATCAAATTGTAAGAGTTCTTAATGGAAAAGATGTCGTAGTGACCTGAACAATGTTTTCTGGCCCTTGTCTTTTGCAGGGCATATGCATCTCTACCTGCTGCTCTATGTAGTGAAAAACTTGATCTGCCAGATGTTTCTTTGCCTAATACAGAGAGGATTAGTTGCTGGTGTCAGTGTACGAGACTTACCGTCTGCTTGAGAAAGCCTTTGAGACATAAGCCAGACTGTGCTTTTTTGCACCCAAAACTTAAAATGAATGTGAAACTCCCCAAGATAAAAGGGAAATACGGGTAAAACACAAAGATGTGCAGAGCACTTTTCCTCCCTTGACAAGTAACATGAAATCCAAACAAAGGACTGGGATTTCTGAGGGATTTTCCATGTGCGGGGCCCAGTGGAGTGCAGCGTTTTCTGCCAGGACACTTTTGTTTGTTCTGTTTCTTGTAATGTGGGGAGTTTTTTCTCCTTTTTAAAGAGGCTTTTTTAAAAGTTTCTTTAATCATCATAATCCCCTTTCACCATAAGCCTGTCTACCAACAGAACGGTTGTCCTTCTTAATGCCTCTATTTCTATCCTTCCCCCCCTTCCCCCCCTTACTTTCCCATCCCGGGCACATTCTCGTTTGGATTTCAGCCCTTCAAGGAATACTGCACTGGGGGGGATTATACCCCTCAGATGTCTCCATCGCTGGCTAAAGTCCCCTGGAAAAAATGTAATTACTGAAGAATTTTTGCTGTTGGTTCCTTTTGAGGAGATAAAGGGGGTCAGATTCTAGGGAACTCTTCTTCTTGGAGCAAATTTCTTTCCCTGGGAATGTGCCCTGGTAAGAAACCCTTTTGGAAGGGGTACTGACACTGTACACGTAATGTGTGGATACAGTTGTGCTTCTTGCCTGGTTAAAAAAAGTCTGATTGTGCAAAGAACTTGGGCAGGCATGCATGTGCAAAGAACTTGGGCAGGCATGCGTATAGCAATTCACTCTCCTTTTGCCCTGTTGCTGGGGGAAATGAACTGTGCTATCGTTATCAAGACAGGTTAACAACAGGAATCCCATGTTTCTAAGCCAACTGCTGCAAAGGGCAAAGACCGGGTTAGCTCACATGGATGTGGATTCTTGTGAGAGCCATCTCAGATGAATGTTTCCCCTCTCTCTCCCCACTGAAGGGTGACTTGGTTGCTGTGAGCTGCTCGCACTTTCTGTAACACTACGAGGTCTCTGGCTGATGAGAGTAAATTGATGACTGTGTGATTTGGTCCATAGGAAGGACTGATTACAATCTCAGTATTACAAGTTCTCAGATGCAACTCTTACACCCACTGGAAACCTCTTGTTCCTGACAGTGTTCAGTCTTAAAGGAAACTAATATTGTAGAAATGGAACTAAAGTGGGAATGAGAGGGTGAATGAAGGATAGGTAAAGGTATGTATCTATCCGAAACTGAAGTTTCTCTACTGTTTAAAGGCCATTCTTCAGTTTTAATGTATGTGAAACCCTTAGATATTTTTCTAATACTTCAAAATATGTCTAGCAAGAGAAGAATGGTGATAGTTTTGTTTCTCATCTCCCTCTTCTGCCTCAAGGTAAATTCTCGTGAGGTTATACTTGACAATTTCTGAATCCTAGCTTGACAGCTCTTCAGGGTATTTGCTGTTAAGCACACAGCTTGCTCAGAAGCTCTGTTAGACTTGAAGCAATCCAAGCAGGGAAGAAAGCAGATGGGAGGATCTGCTAAGTGGCTCTTTGGTGGTTGAAGAAATGCTGTAGTATAGTAGAAATAGTTGGCATTTTGCTTTTAGAGATATGCATCTGAACTGGTGATTTGCTGATTTATTCTTTAACTTTACACTTGATGAGACACAAATCTTGTGAACACTGAAGCAGTCAAGTCCTGTGAGGATTTGTTCTCAATATATATTGTTCTCAAATTCTGGAAGACAAAGCTCTGTTTACTGCTGGTTGAATCGCAGCCTCTGGCTTCAGAGGCACCAGATTATGGAGGAATCCAGAATTCTTCTGGTTCTGATGTACATGTAGTCACTATATATCCTTTACTTGACTCTCTCAGGCTGCAGATGCTTCAGAATGATTATTGTCCTTGTCCACTGCAGAGCACAAACGAGTTTCTTCTATTAAAGGATCCTCTTCACTGTTCCAGTACCATTATTATGTCTCTAATGCTAAGATTGTTTAAACCAAGGTTGAGAAGACAGTTTGTCTAAACTTCTTTCTACGTTTATATTTAAAATGTTTCAAATGACAACTAAAAAGACCCACAAAAAGGATCTGTCATGTGGTACTTCACTCCTGTTAATACAGTAAGGCTGTCTCTTTTAGGGTCACACACTGCTGGAGAGTGCTAGCATTCCTCATGAGCAGGAACTGGCATTCACTTTATAGGAAAGCTGTAATATAATGTAGCTGCAACATAACTTGCCAGGAAAGGCTGGTTAAGACACAAGCATGTGTTTTGTAAGCCAAGTATTGTGAAACTCAACATACAAGGAGGTGAGAATATGATTTTAATTAGCACTGTTTTTCTGACTCCTTTGTTAGGTAATCTCTGTGTTGGTGCAAACCAGATACTATTCCAAGTTAGGAGAAACTCTAGAGTAGGTCCTAATGTGATCTTTGCAGTGTTACTGTCATCAGTTTTCTTCCTATCTCTCACCTAGAGAAGAAGGCACCAGTGTTCATGGATATTTGGACTGCAAGCAGGAGAAATAGCTGTAAAATGCCTGCAGTGTTGTGGTGTTGATGGCGGGGTTGTGTGGCTGGGAAGCACTTTGAAATGACGATGCTTGCAGAAGAGAGTTTAATTTCCTCATAAATATACATCCCAAATATAAGTACCATTGAGCAGGAATGAGGTCTGAACCAGGACCTCACATCTTGGAGGTGAGCTTCAGCCAGCATCTGCAGGCAGATCAGGCTTCCCAGAACTTCCTTTTCTAACCTCCCCCAAATATGTAGCTGTGTATGTGAATGTGTGCATGCATTCAGATACATTTTCCTTTGTCTTTCTCTCACATTCATATCCTAATGTGGAAAGCAGAAGGAGCAGGAAGCTAAAATGCTGAACTTATTTCCACAAGTGTTGAATGGAATTGCTTTATTTTTCTTTTTGTGTAGGCTTTGATGGCATATGTTCTGAACTGGAGAGCTGGTAAAATATGAATCAAATCTTCAGCAAGCCAATATAATAATTAAAAGGAATGTTGATGGTCTTAATTAGCAGCATATTAGCATGCTGTGAGCACCAGAAGTTCTACTGAGTTGGTTAGTTTGACTGATTCAGTTGTATTTATTACTAATTAATGAAATGTTGCTATCATTAATGCTTTTTGTAATTTCTTTGTAGGAAATTAATTGTGTAAAGACTTAAAGCTGCACTAAACCAGTGTTAGAATAAGATCTCGTACATATGGGGCTGTTGAAATGATGGTGACTAATAGGTCGTGAGCTTTGGATGAGGTGACTCTGTACTACACTATTTCTTAAAATAATGTTTATGTGAATGCCTCTCTTGGTGTGGGTTTCATGACAATTAAGAACTTTCATCCTCAAACTCTCTAATAAAATTGAGAAGCCACTTAAGCATTCTCAAGAGCACCTTTTTGTACTAAATTTATTAGCTTAATAACCTCTAATGAACAGCTGTTGAGTTACAGTATAAATGAAGATGGTCCAGATTCTTATTAGTCTGGGTTTTTGTTGTTGTAGTAGTTTGTTTTGTTAATGTCATGAGAATGTCCTTTAAGGGCTAATGTTGGAGCTTGTCTGGTGTTTTGCTATAACTCACTCTACGTTAAATCAACTTTCCATGCTTTCTCTTTAAAAACCCTAGCAGGATCAGCTATGGTTAAAGCTGAGTCCAAAAGAAAGTCTTAAATTCACATGCTCTGCAGATGACTGCAGCACGTTTGGGATCCAATTGTAAGACCTTTAAAGTCCTACATCTAGCAAAACATAATGGCAGTATGTTTTAAATTACTGCCTGTTGTTAATGTTTGTTTTTATGCAGAGGCCTCAAATACTGTACATGACTGTGGTGTCAGTATCTGATTGTAACAGAAATAGAAGTATTGTAATTGCTTTTCTGGACCTGTGTTCTTAAAGGGAGAAGGTGTATTGAATTGATAGAGTGTGCTAAATACAACCTGTGCTATGAAGGTGGTGTTTGGTCCTGCTAATATCAAAAGCTGTGGTAAAATATCAGTAGTATAGAATATACATCTTGACTGTAGTTATAACTGTGGAGTTAAAGCTTAAGTTCATATCCAAACAGATTTCTCAGTATGTCTTATATAGTGAGTATATAAAGTGCCCATCTTTGAATAAGAAAGATCTTTAATGGGAGAAGGGTTTCCTCTCTAAGCTAGGGTTTTCTGAGGAGGAGACTTGGAGCTGAAAACTTTCACCATGACACAGTGTGGAGCAGGTTGTTTAGTTTTGTTGGTTTATCCTTTCCTCCCTTTCTGTGCACCCGGACAGTGTCAGGGTCTGAAGAGTGTGGGAAATTTCAGGAATGAAACTATTGGCTGTAGTGAACTTTGAAAGGAAGATGGTGAATTAATGGCGTTGGGAATAACTGAGAGATCAGCCTACAGCTGCTGAGATTTGGCATTTCCCTGTCTCCTGATCGGAAGTGTGTATGTGGGGAAACTTGCCGTCTTTAAACTGTCTGAGCTTAGTGGAAAAAATTTCTTCTGAATCTCAAATGATCTGGACGGTATCAGCCTGCAGCGCAGTGGTGTCATTAAATTGTCATAGTAATGCAGAGGAGATCATCCTATAATCATTGAGGAAACTGTTTTACTTTGAAAGCTCATTATATCCCTGCTGCTACAGTACAGCCTGTGCATTATGTCTCTGGATCCCCAAAGCACATGGGCCACCACTCCACAGCTGAGTGAACAGCATCTCTCTCAATTCCACTTTCTTTGTGCTCTTGGTCAGTGGCTCAGCAGGTCTCTAAAAAAACCCAACCCATCTACTTAGCACATCTCTCTCCCACATATCACCCTCAAGATGCACTGGTTTATCTTAGTCTTGTTGCCTGTTGGCTTTGAATGTCAGGTTGTAAAAATAGTTTGTTTTCTTCTGTTGGAGGAAGTGATTGAAAACAAGGCTTATTGTGGAGCTTGCAGAAATGTTCGCATTGTTGTTCACAGTGCTGCTTTAAGAACATTTAATTGCAAATCAGCATTAAGGAGTAAGTAGTGGGGAATGAAACCCTTGAGCATTTACAGCTGGTTGCTATCTTTTCTACTTGTGAGTTAAGAGTGTGATAACACAGGCAGAGTCCAGGGGAGGACACCACTGGCATGCTCATAGCTTATGAAGTACCTGCAGGAGAAGAGGAGCTGTTTGCTTGCTATTTGCCAGCAAGTTACTCTACAAGCACACTCTATTAGAAGGCAGGAAACTTGAGTGGGGAGATCCAGTGCTCTGATACTGTAAAACCTTGGAACTGCAAACTGTGGTTCATGTTACATGCAGGAAGAGCTCTGGTACTTCAGAGCTGGTACAGTGGAGCCTCTGATTTAGCTTCTGTCACCTTCTTCTTTCATTTGCTCTGTAAAATTGGACTTCTTGCTTCCTTGTTACCTCACTTCACGGTGCCAGGCTCTGCTGACACCTGTGGAGTCAGGCTCAGCAGTTAGTGCTTTTCATAGACTCGTGGAGTAGTTAGGGTTGGAAAGGACCTTAAGATCATCCAGTTCCAACCCCCCTGCCATGGGCAGGGACACCTCACACTAAACCATGTCACCCAAGGCTCTGTCCAACCTGGTCTTGAACACTGCCAGGGATGGAGCATTCACAACCTCCCTGGGCAACCCATTCCAGTGCCTCACCACCCTCACAGTAAAGAACTTCTTCCTTACATCCAATCTAAACTTCCTCTGTTTAAGTTTTAACCCGTTACCTCTTGTCCTATCACTACAGTCCCTAATGAATTATTTGAAAGAATTTAGATCATTATCCTACTATGCAATTATAGGATGACTTTTTAATTTATGGATCCTGTGGACTTCTATGTTATTTAATTAAACAAAGGTCTTAAATATATTAGTGAAAAGGAAATTGGAAATTCTCAGTCTGGTAAACTGAGAGACGTTGATGTGTAGAGTTTGGGAGGTAAGTTCAAGGGAGAAGGCTACTTATCTGCCTGACTTGCAGGGAAAAAACAAGGTAAACAAAGGCTCCCTCCAAATTAGAATTACTGTATATAAAAAGCTGTCGAGATGTGTGTGGCTGGCTTACACATGCAGGGTCATAAAGGTGTTAAATGCAGGATCACATCCATGGGGGATGGAGTTTCCACCCTCCCATGCAGTCTGGGCCCTGGTTAGCAGGTCATTTGATGGGATCAGCTAAGTGTTCCTCAAGTCTCTACCATGGCAATTCCCATGGACTTCTCCTGAGCAGACTCATGGTTATTGTCCTTGAGCAAGCTGTGTTCCTCCATGGTGAGTGTGCTCCCCCTTTGTGAGCATGTGGGGGTAGAGCCCCTGATACTGTTAAAGTCCTTTTTAGTTGCCTTATCTTGTATAGACCTGTACATACATGGTGAACAGTAAATGCTTTGCTCTAATGAAGAGCTTGACTGGCTTGTAAATAACATCTTTTTAAATTCAAAGAAATTACAGACTGTCTCAAGTGAATGCACAAGCCAGGCTGATGTGCAAGGGGGGTGTTTGTAATAGCTGGTCCCTGTGATTTGCCCAAGGCTCCACACAGGGCTAATAACAAGCATTAGACAGGAGAGTCTGGGCTCCAGGTACTGCTGAATAGTGGAGTGCTGGCCAAGGGAAGAGTGGGGCAATCAGTGACAGAATTGCATGTTAGAGGCTAGGTGTGCTCTTTGCACATCTAGTAATGACTTTCTTGTGTACTTGCCACCACCCTGCTAAGGAAGGCAATGTTTTGGAGAACCTGTGTGGTCTTTGATGCTGCAGGATGTGTCTGCCTGTCATTCTCCCATGGTACCAGGAAGTCTCGGATCTTGGGGTGTGCTCTAAAAAAGCAGCTGCTTTAAAAGAGACAGTGATGGAAAAGAATGTAGTTTCTAAATGTCAGCTAAACCTGTGGAGCACTTACAAGCAGAAGAAATTACAGCTTTGGTCTCTCAGTAGTGGGCTTTGCAAGAGGAAGAAAAGAGCAAACACATGGTACAATGGGGTCTGGAGAAAAGTCTTTTAAATGTTGCTATTAGAAGGATTTCTTTGGGCATAAGTGAAAGGCAGTACTTTGGTGTGGAACGTTCCTCACTTTTAACAAGTTAAATGGCTCTCTTGATTATATAGTCTTGCTTAGCAGTTACTGGAACTGCATATTAACTCCTCCAGTAACTCTGACGCCTGCAGGTTAGATAACACGAAGGCTGAATTTGCGCCTGGCCAGCACTCATATTTCTCCCTTCCATCCTCCTGCAAAAAGCTGATGTGGTTGCATTCTTATCGTGTGCTGATACAGACTTGAGATCTGTGGTCAGATTGGCAGCA